GGGATTCCTTGAGCAGTGAGAACATATGTGTGTTTGTGACGTAAACAACATTGTAAGGTTACTCAACTATTCATAAATAAGCAACTATAGACATGCAATATGTGAGAGAGAGAGGTTCAGCTTAGCTTTTCTACTAAAAGCGGGTTCTAAAAATGGCAAGTTTTGATGTTTGGACAATTAATTTTAGAAATACTTAGCAAATGTCTGTTATTTCTAAGTTTCTTGTCGAAGATGAGTTCCTGTTAGCAACCTTTCGCTTCGTCAGATATATAAGTACAGCTGTGGCATGGAGCGGGTTTTGAAAAAAAAAAGAGTTGAATTTGCTTCAAAACATTCCCATTTTTCAGGCGTTTATAATTCAAATGTATTCAGGGCATGCGAGGAAAGTAGTGTTTTGGAGAGAGGTTTAAGAAAGGGAAATCAGGCAGCCGCCTTCTAAGATTTGCAAGTTTTTCTCGAAACTTTTCTCAAATGCTACAGATTGGTTTGCAAAACAAAAAAAAATCTGATTAGCATTAAATTTAAAGATTAAACGGGATATCTCAGATGTTCATAGTAAAAAGTTCCTGCCTAGAAAATTTATGGATTGTAATCCTGGGAGAAGCAGTAATAACCTATATCACAGGATTGAAACTAATTTGATTGAACAAGAGGTTTGTTACCACAAACACAAAGGGCTACGTCTGCTCTACGGATCCTTTCGAGAAAAAGAGCCTACAAGTGCAAGTGTCTTAATGAACCCTAATTACAAAAATGTGTCTTGAATTGTAGAGTGCAAATACTCTCCAATTAGCCTTGTATATTCAGTATTGCGAACTGCGATGTATGCGATACCTCAGAAATTTCACAAAATTTTCTGTAAAGTTGTCCATGAAAAAACGGGTAGACAAAGAAGGACTCGAAACTCATTTTTCGCATTAAAAGTAGTGCAAAGCAGATTAATCTAACTTCGGCAAATGTTCTTTTATTACGCATTTCGCATTTATTACTGCAACGATCAAGTTCGCAGGTGAAATTTTCACTCTTTGAGCTTGTGTTTCGAAAAAAAATCGAACGAGTTAATTGTATCTGCGCCTTTTTCTGTCTTGGAGCTTTGCAATAGTCCAGGCTGAAATGCTTAATGCTCAAAACATGGGGGTAATTCCTTTTGGGCCTCATGGGAATGCATGTGAAGAGCGAGCTGACGTTAAAAGCCCCTTAAAAAGATTTTGCGAAGCCAGAGCTGACTATGAATTCTAACAATTAAGCCATAACATATAAATTTCAAAAGTTACTGTAGATTTAAGGAGACATAATCAAAAATCTTACAATGATCAAACTCTTGTGAGCAAATATTAGCTATGACACTACAATCGGAATGAGTCCGTGATTTTGAGTTAAAAAGGATGCGCCTTCAATTTCATGCCATTTATTATAGTCCTACTTTTCAAAAGTAAAATTCGATAGTACGTCAACCAACTTTTCCTCGTCATCTGTCGATTTCCTCTTAGTCCATGAGAGAACGACGTTGCGTATATTAACATAATGACTAACATAAGGACTGAAATAAAAGGTGAGC